GGGAGAGAAAATGACATATCTTTTTGGAATATTTTAGGAATGGAAATTGGATACACTTTGTGACCTGTATGAGACACTGACGATTACACAGGCTGTTATCTTTCTCAATACAAGGCGCAAGGTGGACTGGCTAACTGAGAAAATGCATGCTAGGGACTTTACAGTTTCTGCACTGGTAAGTTCTAATATAAATTAGCATACCTTTCTACGAAAGCAGGATTTAGACTACAACATAGCTGTTAAGTGCTGTGTTGTCGTTCCCCCTGCTCAAAATAAAGTTGTTTCTTATCTATCCCTGTCTGCTGTGCTTTCGTAGCAGTCCAGGGACGCTTGGTCTCATACATGTTGATAAAAAAAGTAATTTTGGTGATTCTTAAATTAAAGTTATTTTTTGCAGCATGGTGACATGGACCAGAAGGAAAGAGATGTGATCATGAGGGAATTCCGATCAGGGTCAAGCAGGGTTCTGATCACCACTGACTTGTTGGTAAGTGAACTTTATATAATAGCTATGCATTCCTTTACCAAAAGTTAATTGTGAGGTAAGGTTTTCAAATAGCCTTTACCAGTTGGGACTCTTTGGGAGATTAAAGGCCACACTCCACGGTGGGCTATACCACTTAGTATAGTTCTCTACTAATTTGTGGCCTACATGCTTTACATGGGTTATCAAGTTTTTGAATAGGGTTTGAATACATACCATTGCATTTCAGGCACGTGGGATTGATGTTCAACAAGTATCTTTGGTTATAAATTATGACCTACCTACCAATCGTGAAAACTATATTCACAGGTGAGTAAACAGCATTTTGTCTGTTTATTGGAAAAAATTCATAAATTTTGTAACTTTTTCTTAAAGGTAAAATTTTATCAGGGAATTGATCTAGAAAAATGGTCTCATACTTGAGATAATTAAAGCTGTTATTTGGGAATACATCATTTGGTCACAAAGAACACAGTGGGAAAACAGTTGTTACCAAATTGTGTAGTCTATACATAGGCATTAGATCAGGTTTTAAGTATTTGGTTCATAGCTGATTTCTGAGGTTCTTAATAAGGTTGCTCTTGTCTGTTCTTGATTGCTGTAGTTGGGATTTTCTTGGTGTCATCTGGTAGCAATTTGATCCCTGGTTTAGTTATAGTGGCTTTATCCCTAAATAAATTGAATTGTAATTTGTTATATGATGTAAAAAAATACAGGAGTCGATAGCAGCAGTTGATGACGAGATGGCGCTCAGAAACGGCGTTGACGTAATTTAGGACGTGGAATCATAAGCGAAACAGCACACTGTTTGAATAAAGAGCGAGTCGGTATTTATATTTGTTTTTCTTTTGTCATGATTATTTGCTATTTTAAGTTGCTCCAGTCAAGGCATTTTGTATATTAGCATCTGTTAGGTGGTTTTGTATTGTCTGCTTTCCATCTGAAAGGGAGAGCTCTTTTGAAGGTAACACGTTTTTGTAATTGTGATTTTAAAAACGTGTGAGATAAAATGAGCAAAAAAGCAGTGATAAGTTTGGGTTACCATACCAAATGAGGTGTTTTCCCACTGGAAAAATGATAGCTCTTAGAGAATAGTTAACCATTCAGTATTTATATTTACAGTTCCCGAAGTGCGTCGAAATGGATTAATTACATAACTATTCTTTTTCATTCTTGGTGTTTTACATCTGTCCCAGGCTCATACCTGCTCTTGGCTGGCCCACTTTGGTATGGGCTTTAATATCACTACCCCAAACACAATACTGTCACCTGCTTTATAAAAATAATGCTCAAGACGCCTGATAAAATATCTCGTTTTGCAGCCAGACAGCCTTTGAATCCTTTTGGCACTAACTGCAAAGGAAGATTCTTTTCTCTAGATATTGAATAGCAGCTAGTGCTCCAATTAGAAGCACGAACTATAACCTTGATAAGTAAACAGCAGCTGATGGTTAACAAGTGGATCGACATGTGCAGTTCATGCACTATTTTGAGAAAAGTGCTGATTGTGAACATTTGTTTTTCTTTCCCATACAGAATTGGCAGAGGGGGTCGATTTGGGAGAAAAGGTGTGGCTATTAACTTTGTTACTGAAGAAGACAAGCGGATTCTTCGTGACATTGAGACTTTCTACAATACAACAGTGGAGGAGATGCCAATGAATGTGGCTGACCTTATTTAATTCCTGGGATGAGATAGTTCTGAATGCTGTGCTCGCTGTTGCTGAATAGG